GGGACGTTTTTCCCCTTCTATATCTTATATTAATATCTCCTTCTGGCCCTTTTTATTTGGCGACGGCGCCCCGCCTGCCTTTCATCGTCTTCATCTGATAAGTCTGATGAGTCTGAGGTTTCAGTGTCACTCAGTGATTCGAGGTCCATGTTTCTCATCATTTCCACGGGAAATATTCCATTTCTACGGACCCTTTTGAGCACATTAACTGTAAATGAATTGATAACATTTAATAGGCAATTAATTGTATATACTTTCTTGACTGTATTTCAATTCCAAATCAAATTCATTCCTGGGTTTCAGTCATTTATTGTCTCCATTTATCAATCAAAATACGTTTCGGTGTATTTTTCCACTATCATCAGTTTTTATGTGTAGCGTTGTTGCTGCTTTAAGCCTTGGCATGCATTTTTGCGTGCCAATAAATGACTGAAACCCAGGAATGAATTTGATAGGGAATTAACCCAATCGGGATAGCAAATTAAGTTTGATTTAACTACTGTGAGTAGGTACAATGGAGTTTTAGGTTTTTTTTTGTTCTGATCACTTACGTTCAGACTCCAACGTATTATTTGTCCGTATCAAATCGCTGATGTACAGGCGGGCATCATTAGTCCTCTTTTTCATGACTGTGATATACTCAGCCGACTTGTGCAAAATTTGCGCCCTACTGGCCTGTGAAAGAAAAATTGCCGTTTATTATAATTGTCTTAGATCAGTGATCGATCCAACCTTTTGTCCTTGTAATACAGGCACGGAATTATGCAAATTAGTGAAGCTGTCTTTGATATGATCGCGTCGTTTACGCTCCAAAGCGTTATGGTGCGCCCGTTTGTCTGCCTGCAAATAAAACATTCTCAATTAATCAAACATCATGCATCATTATTAGACACACTAACACAAAGCTAACTTATTGAGAAAACTCAACAAATTGAGTTACCTGGGAATAGTACTGGTTCTCTGAAGACATTGAGGCCTCAAGTTGCCCAACATACAGGTCATCGCTATCCTCCTAAGACAAAAACACGTTTGTGAACAAAAAGTTGTCGAAGTGTCTTAACTACAGAACACCTTTACACCTGACTTAAAAATTGCCAAAAACCTGCTACTATTGCTGTATAGATGCGCTTCCCCACGTGGGTTACAACTTGGTGTGTTGATTTTATGTGATACCATACATATAATTTTACTTACATCGCTTTCCCCATCATCATCGTCCTCATAGTCAGGGTACAAGTCTGCGTCCATTTCAGTCATTTGCACAATCTTTGAACTTCGTCAATGCAAAAAGGTAATACAACTCAGGAACGGCAAAATGTAATAAAACCAGAAACCATAACCATAGATAATATAGTGAGCAGTCAAAAGTCACAAGCATTCCCTATCACAAACTAACCTCAGTGCACTGTCTGTTGCCACATTGCCTGGTCGCGCACATAGATAAAGACGATTAACTGTTAAATTTTATCTTATTTTACCTGAAATGCTCAGCCGCTTGCATCATGCATGTTTTAATATAATAAAATAAATAAATATTATATATGGCCTACTTTCAGCCCATTGAATTTTTTTTCTATTCGAATGAATCAAACACTGCGATTGTTCGATCAGAAGCGTTGATAATGATGCAAAAGAAGCACTTTCCTTTTACGCACATTGTACGTGTCACTGTATATTTTTTCAAGTACTTTTATTAAAAAGTAACCGACATTCTTTTTTCATTAGTTACGTAGGTTTATCTAACAACTATTGATCATACGCAAAGTACGACATTTTTAAATATCGCAAATGTCAACATTGCAAACGTCAAAACGTGATCAATTTCGATAATGGCCTGGACATCAAAATTATAATTTGAAGTTGATGACTCATTTTTGACTATTCCTATTTCTTATAACTGACTGAAACATTTCAACTAGCTCTACATATATTAAGACGGACATTTTTTAAAAGGCTTGTAATCAATTACAATCGATTAATTAGACGTATTTAAATCTGCCCCACTTTTCCTTTTCTTCTTCTTCTTCTTTTTCTCGGAACCTCCAGAAACACCATCCCCGTCAGTTAAAGCTGAAAATGGATTATTATTTTTATTAATATTATTATGTAATTATGTGGTATCGACTCATATAATGTAATAGGTAAAAGAAACTCACCACTGTCGTCTAGTTTTGCGGAATCAAGCGATTTTCCCTTTTTCTTTTTTGGCGTTTCGCAGTCCTCAACGTCTTCTGTGGCTGTGATTGATAAAAAAAACTTGATTTTCCTAATCAAAAAAATTAATTCATTTGCATTACCTGCTAGGGAACGCTTTTTCTTTTTCTTGGGCGGTTCTAAGTCGGGACTGGCCAAATCTGCGTCTGCTCCAGTTGTAGTTCCATTGCCATTCAAAGCCTCAGAAGCGGAGCGCTGTATTTGCGATATTAGAAATAAATTAAATTAACTCTCATCTTGATCTCATCGATAGTTCCCATCGCTACTCGAAACAGCAATTGATCATACCTTATTTTTTTTCTTCTTTTTCTTTTCAGACACCATAAGCTGATTCACCTCCGCGATAGCCTCTTGCATCACGTCGATGTTTTTCTTGGGTATGTCACCGTTTTCATAAAATTTTAATCTATCCTCAACCTGAAATATAATGATTGTGTGATATTTCTAATACGATGAAATACGCTAATGAGAGATCACATTCTGTAAAGAACGACGAAAAACGAATGCAAAAAAGCGCCGAAGATCATAAGAAGAGATTGTAAAGGAGCCATCAGAGATGGGTGAAGAAAACGTATACAAATATACGATAGGCGCGTTAAGAATGATAATGTTAAAATGTCCAGGCAAAGAGGCAAAACGTTTGACAGGGGAATATGAAAGGAAATCGTAGCTCACCTGCTGCTTCAATTTTCCGCCGAAGATTTGATTCGGGGTTTCAGTAAAACAGTCGATTCTGGAAGCTATGGAGCACTTGTTTGCCAAATATCTGGAAATGCGGCCTTTGTTCTTAGTGCCGGCTCTCCCGATGAATGTCGAGTGGAAAAGCAGTCCATACTTGGGGGTATTACCTGAAAGGGAATGCAATGAAACAAAACTGAAGAAGCCTTAAATTATGCACAAAGAAGGCTGCTATACCTTTTGTCTTCAATGCCCTGAATAAAGCTTTCTCTGCACCCAAGATTTGCACAGTGGAGGCAGGATATTTAGCCAAGTTCGTTAATGAGCCAGCATGAGAAATCAGCCTGGCTCCTACTTGATCACCGATCAGTGTTGCTAGATTTGGAGCTACATCTGACATTTTGGTGTTGAGATATTCAGACAGCTGTACGGATAAAAAGAAAATAGATAAATTAAGACTAAATTTCAGGTAAAATACTCAAACACAAGGTTTCGGGTGCTTGCTCAACTTATTGACACGAAGGCCAAACATACCTGCTTCCTATAATCGGAGAGCGATACGACTTTGGATGCGAACATTTCAATATTTAGCAAATCAATCGGGCTGATATCCATTCCCATGCTAGATCGGGAAGCATCCAAAATGGCTTGAGCCTTCGCTGAGTCCATGGTCAGCTCCTCCAAACCTTCAAGCGAATCGTCGGTGAGGTCTTTGCGGTTTTTGATGAAATTCACCAACTTGGCGTATGTGCGATTTTCTGGCACGATTTTAACGAGTTCTGGGAAATGGTAGGAATACCATTCTCTGCAATTAAGAAGAAAACCATGAACACCACATGGAAAACTAGCACGGAAAACATCACACAAACCTTATTCGCATTGAAAATGTGTTTATATCCTTGTCCAGTTGATCAAGCAAGGCAATTGACTGAATGATCATATTGTCGACTCTGTGCACGTTGAACTTTATTTTTGCTCTTGAATAGGCATGGCCCAGGCCGAGTTGGGCAACATCGGCACTTTTGGGGCTCAGTTTCTTGACCAAGTGATGGAAATGTGCTCGGAGACCTGCGAATGAAAACATGCACAAAACTGTTCCACATAACATTGGCATTGGTATTCACCTCTCACAATCTCCGGAACCACACCAATATGACTACACTGCACATTAATGGCTTCAGTAATAGCAGCCGCTAATTTCGGATCAATGACTCCCAAAAGCGTTTTTTTGCCTTTGGGCACAGTGATGTCCAAGAATTGGTGCAAATCATCCGACAGTATTCCTTCGGAAATCGCATTCATGTTTTCGAGCGCAGCCAGGGCTGTTTTGAATGGAGAGAAGCTCACAAGCTGCACGATGCTGTTGAATCTCGCCACGTCGTTTATGGACGCTTCGATTTGCGGCAATATCATGCCGATTTCTTCAAATTCCTTCACCTTGAAAACGCCGAAACCGGTCGCGTGCTCCGAAAGCACGTAGAGCTTCGACTGGAAAAAGGGGCACACGTGTTAAGTAAAGTGAGGTTAGGAAAAATAGCATAACAGGTGACTTATAGCCCTCCCAAGTCGACAATGAATTGTTCAAAAATTCTGCTTACCATTTTTCGTTTTTCACACCGATCAACACTTTTAGTAGACTAACCAATCGCGTATCACTTTTAACAAGCCCGTAGAACAACAAGACGCAACTTATCTTTATCAACGAAGACGCCGCCAACGGAAACGCAATGGAATGAATTTTACAAGCAAAACTTGCATCGACAAATGACACAAAGGCAGCGTTGCCAAACTTCGAAAGCGGTAGAATGATAGGAAAAACGGTAGATAATTAATTAAGCAGAGGCAGGCGGTATGTCTGTCTTTTTCTAGGAGATATTTCTTTAGTAATGGAATAGTAACAAAAGAAATATTGAAAAAGAGAAAATGTATTTGACTAGAAATAGTACCATCGACTCGTAGTCATCCTTTTCTGGCCACATATATATGACAAAGATACCGCGAGGATGTTTGAATTAACAGCTGAACAATTTCGCTATTTGATTTCATAACTTTCCTTATCGTTAAATGTCATTTGCGCATTAAAATCCATTTTATTCGTGCTGTAGCTGAAATTAGGTGGTGTCGGTGGTGTCTTTGTTAGCATCGATCAAGACCAGTTTGTGAAATTTTCATTTGCCATTAACTCTTCTGAGCGAAGATCGATACGGAAACCGGAACAACCAAAGGGTGCACTCCATGTACTTCCCCTTATTTGGCCAACTGTTATCAGTGAAGATTAGATAAAAATGAACGATCGAAGGCGAGGAGACGTTGTGGAACTATGCAAAATCCTGGCGGAACAGGAAAATCTCCAAGCCACAGTGGTGCGATCTGGTAAAGGAGCCCTTTACGCAGGCATGGGCGTGTTCATTGGAGGCCTACTGGCTGGTCCGCTTGGAATGGCTATCGGTAACCAATTTTAGGGCTCACATTTAAGGCCTGTGTGGACAGCTTTTGCAATTTGCAGGTGGTTCAGTAACATCAATTGCGGTGGCAGTCAACTCCAAGGGAACATTTAAATCAGTCGTTACGGTCATTAACGAAATGTCGGTGGCGCAAAAGCGAAAACTTGCGGATGCCGTGCAAAAGGTAATTGGGAGTATCAAAGGCGAAGACTGTGTATCGTTGGTTGGACTGATTCTAGCTAGTTCTTCCATTAAACAAACGATTTTAACGGAATTGGGGCGCTTTTTAATGAAAGAAATGCAAATGCAGCTCGCCCGGTAGTCTGAAAGCAGCTTTTTTAACTTATTTGTTTTACACTATTTTTACGCCAATTTTTTCCGGATGATAAATATTTTTTTAATAAACCTGTTTTATTTGAGCCACTGCTGCCGAACAAAAAAGTACCCAATGCAGATGTTAAAAGCTCCAGAACATTTAAAAAAAGTTTTACGTACTTTTGAGTTGGCATCTGCTCTCTATGGAAGTGTTCAAATCTGGTCGAAACGGGGTCAGAAAACTTCCAATAAACAATTTCGACTTCATATTGACATTAATCAAAACGAACTTTCTTAGAAACTACTATTTTCACCTGGTAGGCGCTGTGCTTTGATAAAGCAAAAAATAATTTAAAAAATTACAAAACTTTCCAAGTGCCAATATTGATTATGGATTCTTCAGATTACTGCCAGTTCGAAAGTGTTGCCAACTTAAGAATTGCTATTATGACTCAGAAACGTCAGTCGTCTTTATCTATGAACGTCAATTTGAACGTGATAAGTCAGCGCATGGAACAAAAAATGTTTTTTTTGCCTAACTTGTCCTACCGGCCGAGAAAAAGTTCCAAATTGGTGAAAAACACGGACTATTTTACACAGTTTAGTTCCGGGAAAAAACATTCCCGGGATAACCCGAAAAATCATGGATGGCGCATGAAAGAAACCGAACTAGAAGGTAAGTTTTTATTCAATTTTCTAAACCCGAATTTTCAGTATAAATATAAGTTAACAATCAGCAATAAGTGCCAAAAAATAACAGCTCGCAATAAGACCGTGACTAGACTTTGTCGAACTAATGATCCAAAATCCTCATATTGCCCGAAACAATCTTGTTCTCCAGTATGGCCCCCGAAGGAATATCGATTCGATCCCCATGGTTCGCTATGATAATAACAGTGCCCTGAAACATTCACTTGATAAATATCAACCTTCCACATAGACGTGATTGGTGGTAATACCCTCAAAGAGACGCCCCTGCCGAAGGTGACATCTCCAGAAACCGTCAGATGGTCCAGCTCAATTAAGTCTGGAATATTGGCGAATCTGCCGAGGAACTCTTTCACCTTGGAAAAGTGATTGTCGCCAAGCTTAACAAGCGGCGTAGTAGGGAACATTCTCTGGGGGGACATCACCAATGAGCCCTTCTTCAGGCTGTAGATGTTGCTCATTACGAGTAGCAGATCGGAAGTTTTCTTCACCGGCAAAAACCGCGCCCTGGGAACATTCACCCCGACTGCTCCCCGGAAACATTTCATCGCTGCCCCAACAGCGGTTTCAAGTTGAATTACATTGAGCCCATTGTTCAGGGTTTTGCCGTTGATGATTATTTCCAGTTGGAGCGCATTTTCGCTCAGAATTCGCTCAATTGCTGCAAATCATGATCGTTTGAAAGAAAGTGATAGTGTTAGGTGTGCGTTGGCACGCTGTAAGAAGCGTAATGTTACCGCTTACCTGGCAATTTCACCCAGAGATTATTCGTGTTGAAAAACTTGAAGGTTTTCACCGACTTGAAGTCTTCGACGTGTTCTTTGGGCACTTGGGCAATTTCCAGCAGCCGCAGCCGATTCTCGTACTGAATGAGCGTGCCACCCTGGACAAGAAAACGCTTTACTGCAACCGCATCAGCCGCGAAAAATTGAGCCTCACCTTAACATCGGCCCTGGTTTTATCGGTAACTTCCATAACAAACTCGTGGCCTTTTTCGCTGCTGTTCATCAGCAAATTCAGAATATTTATGTCGACTGTGGCGCCCAGATTATCGATATTCGATATAAAGCAATAGTCGCGGCCTTCCTTGACGAACTTGGACAGGAGCCCGGAGTTGTAGAACGATCTGAAATCAGAAAAAAACCATCCAGATCGGTTGCGGGTTTCTCATGTCGTGGACACTCACTCGTAAAAGTCGCCGTGGCCAGGGGGGTACCACGCATCGGGGTGTTTATCCACATCGCAAATTTTCGCAATCGGCATCAGACTGTCTTTGCTGATTCGAGGATAGCAGGATTGATTGAATGTGTGAATGTCCACGTTCAGATTTTTGTACTTTCGCACCACCTGATCAGTATCAGCGTTCGTGTTGAAGGAATTCATCAGCACCAAAGGCACGTTCACGTTGTAGGTGCTGTTCAGATGCTGAAACAGTCAGAACCATTAACACTTTTCCTTATTCATTATCCAGATGCTAACACTTTTCCTTAGTCAAATTTCTGGCCGAAATGGTGGATGATTATGTTCGCTAACTTACTTCGATCTGTTGCACAGTTAAATCGAGAAAAGTGAGATCATTTCGCACAGTTATCACAGATTTCGGGCCGTAACAACCCATGGAAGTGCCCAAGCCTCCATTCAGCTTCACCACCACCAGTTTGCTGAGCATCTGCTGCAAAACGTCCGCAGTGGGGGTTGGTAATGAGTTGTAATCTCTCACAGCATCGGGGGGTAGTTTTTCAATGTTGTCCCACTGCAAGGACGGCCCTGATTCGTCGAGGAATCTGCAACAAACCAGTTGAAATTGCGCCCCCATGAAAAAAACACTAGAGAACACAGACCGCTTGAACAAATGAGTAAATCCCTGGAATTCAGTGCCCACACGCTCCTTATAAGATGGGGGGGCTGAGTCGACCAGGCGGTTCAACTCGCTCTCCAGCAGCCCCAGGGCTTCGGTCTTCGTGGCTTCAATGAACGCTTTGGCATCGCTACCCGAGCGCGAATGGCCCTTTACCTAGAACAAGTCCCTGCGTTAAAGTGCTCATTTCAGGGCCCCATTTTCGAACAAGATAGTCGAGCAACTCAGGCACGTCTCTGTAAAACTGTCGTTGATCTTTGATGGGGGCCGGATTTACTTGGTTGGTATTTGTTTGCCCGCAGGATTTTAGCTGGAAATGACCCCTACAGCCCGGGCAACGATGGCACATTGCCTCAATTACCCAGCTATTGCCGCCAGTTTTTTGATTTGTGTGTGACAGAATGTCATTGCATCAACAACAGCAATGACAACTAGTAAACCATAGAGTAAGTAAAATAATACGCAATACGTCTATGGTTTGATGGGTGGGGTTTGTGCCCGAATGGTTCCGATTATTTTCAACCATTTTCTTGCGTACGAATGCCAATTTTATGAGAGTTCACATGTTCACTTAGTATTTGGTGGTTTTTTTTGCCTAGATGCGAAATTAAGGCAGAAATTTGGGTTTTTTCGTCGTTCTGACGTTTGTCTGTTTTGACTATTCGGGAGTATTAAGTCCAAACGCCTCCTGGTGGCTTAAATTATAACTACACGTTAACTAGTAATTTGACACTTGTTTTGTTTTGTTACGTTCTAATCCACATTTTGCAACCTTTTAAAGCAATAGAAACAGATCGAAAAGTGCGTAAGTATTGTTTTATGTTATAAATATCATCAACTCATCAAGCGTCATCAATGTTTGGATTAAATTCAGTGTTTCAGCTGGTAAATCTAAGAATTTTGGGCGCTTTTTATGAAACTTTCAGCATCTTTCCAGACAAGTGCCTTCTTTCTGTCTTCRATTTGCWTGYTATAAACAGCACGCCAAAGAAGATTTGACCRATWTAGAMWCCCCYTAATGAAGGGAAACTTTATYGACGTTCGACATTCCTATACATTTTAAATTTTGAAGAGCACAACTGAGAAACTGACAGTAAGTTTTTTTAAGTAATTTTATTACGTCACCAACCTTGCGTCTGCTTCCSTTCAAATAGGGGCAATTTTGCCGTGATTTCCAAAATTATACAATTATMCTAATTTTTCCAATGTTTTATTGAAACTTTTGCCATGTAGAACCCCTATGTGCTTATGCCATAGCATAGTCTTGACTCAGTGACAAATGAGCTGTCAAATGAACCCAAGCCACATATGATGTGTGGTCGCTGATAAAACACGCATAATTATCGCAAAGAAAGGGTCAGGAGATCGGTTTGATAACCSGATTAACTAGCGACTACGTAGTCAATTCGTAAGGAAAMATGTGGTAGTTTTCCACTGACTTTCACTGCAAGTCTTGAAGCGTGGAGGATTTGATTGAGCCGCAATAAAAATCATATTAATCCGATAGAATAAACTTACACGTTCCAGCAGCGAAGACATATCCAAACTAATATAGGAAAAAACACTTGATGCGCGTCGATGTTTGGCATCGGACTGATAAAAAGCAACATACTAACTAACGAATTGTCGTTCCAGATCGCTCTGTTATCAATAACAGTCGCTTTAAACGATAGACGGCAACAACATTCGACGATTTCATAAACAAACTCATTAAGTTGAATTGAATCCGATGATCTATTCAGTAATGCGGTAATAAGTGGCTATTAGGGATGACATTGCCGTTTTTGTTATATTGCGCGCGGTTTATTGACGATTAAACGGCCATCAAGTTGGCAAACAATTGTTAACAAACATCTTCCCAAGTCGAATTATAATTTTAAAATAACGCGCGAAGGCGAAATTTTTATTAGTGTTTGATGAACAAAGGCCGAGGTTTTGGCAATGGGAGATTCCTATCCGGTGAGGAATCTTGCTTGGGGCAAACGCTCATAAACTGATAAAGCGTTATCAAAGACAATGCGATTTTTTCATCAGTATTAATGGAAGAATGAAGGTAAGTAGGTTTGTGATCATTCTAGTGTTGCACGTTGGCAGGTGAGTGGATGACGTTCAAGTAAAAAGGGGGGATCGTCACTGTCACTGTACAACTGTGAAGTTCAAGTGTCAAATTAACTAATTAATTACGTTTGATGATCGGGAGATTATGGATCAATTTTCAATTGGTGTCTCTTTGTTTTCTAGTAAAGTGAGAGAAAAAGTGAATTATTTGATAGGGAAAAATTAAATTTCAACACTGACATCAAGCAATACTAATGACAAACGTTTAATTGATCAACAGTGAAAAATAARGATGTTTGTAATCATCGGGAACACTAGATGAAACTGGAGGGAAACACCAMTAAGAAAAGTTGTTAATAAAAATATCATCTAGTTGGTGAGCACAATTTAAGCGGGGCAAAGCAAGGCCTGATGTTCCTAACAATTAGAATCAGTTGGCCAATTCGTAGSTAAATTAAGAAGCTAATGTCAAGGTTTTACCGATARTTTTTCATTTAATTGCGGCTTAGGTTTAATTACATTTAACGATGCCTTTATAAAGCCTATATATATCTACTTAAGCTCGTAGATTTGATAAGAACAATAAACACTGGGACTAACAAGAGCCTAACAAAAAATCGTCGTTCTTTCACACACGGTTTTAAACGTATTAGGAGAATAGGTGATCAATGAAGTTGGTGCTTTGCTGTTCCTACATAGTAATAGAGGTTCTTTATTGGTGATAAGGTCGTTGCAAGGACATTTTTCCTGTTGATAAACATGACCGCTCCTACTGCTGATTCGGTCGGAAAATAAGTAGAAAAATCACTCACCTGCTCGCTGCCGACTTCCAGCATTTTCACCACAGGTAAACGACGAGTATTGCACGAATTTGGCTAAAAAGTGATTTTTTGCACCTAGATAAGAGGCCGGGACCGAACACAAGTACACAAACATTGACACAGCGCACATTCAGATCCAGCCTACGTACCAGCAATGCCCGGCCAGAGTTTACCGCATTTCACCAAAGGAGAAGTGGTGAAGGGTTTTGGACGAGGCTCCAAAGATCTGGGCATTCCGACTGCCAATTTTCCGCAGGACGTCGTCAATAATCTGCCCGATGGTTTGGATACGGGCGTTTATTACGGATTTGGGCAAGTCGATGGTGGCCAAGTCCATGGCATGGTGATGAGCATCGGCTGGAATCCGTTTTACAAAAACTCCAAAAAATCGATGGAAACGCACTTAATGCACAAGTTTGAGAGCGATTTTTATGGAAAGGAACTGCGAGTCGTCATTCTGGGCTATCTCAGGCCGGAACAGAACTTCCCCGGACTGGACGCCCTCATTGCGGCCATCGACGATGACATCAAGCAAGCCAGAACCAGGTTGGAGATGCCAGACTTGGCAGGATTCAGGACTAATGAGTTCTTCAAATTGCAGCCCCATTAGTTGATTGTGGAGCAATAATTAAAAAATTACAACTTGACTGTCATTTTCTAGATTTAACCAAAAGTTGTCATGTCACACAAGATCCCTGTGCTCGTGTGTCTGATCCACTATATTGTCGCTCTTTTCCCAGGAGTATCTTTTGCCTTGTCTTACCTACTTTTCCTTATGCACCGATACGCCCTGACCCACGTTATTTCTACACCCGCACCACGTTGGTCGATGTTCACGAACACCCCTCAAGGTCGATGACATTTAGGCAGAAATGTCAGTAAATATTTGTCAATTTCCGAAAAAAAATATTATTTTTGTGAAAACAGTGAGTTGAGTAAGTGTTGGGGAAAAAGTGAGTGGCCGCAACTGAAGAGCGGACTACTGAAGCCATACTAAAACACTAACCGCGCACGGAAAGCCTGATGTTCTGAAAATTATCCAGGTACCTAATTTCATATTTGGCTCTTTTGCATTTTCTAGCAATTCCAGTTCTGGGTAGAAGTTAAAATTTCAAATTGCGATTTGTTCTAGTTTGGAAAGGATTGGAAGCGGTTAAGACATTCACAAGACCATGACCATCATTTTTTTTTTGTAAATCCCCCACACAACATCTGTAGAGAAACTATCCCAATTTTGAATCACCCGGTATCTTAAGCAGAGAAGGGTTTTTTGCAAAAGTAGTTGAATAAATAATGGGCATTTCGGCTAAAACCCCAGATTCAGCGTGTGCATAGTAGGCCTGAAGCCAGAGTCTTGTCTCTGTGCCACAGCCTCCCACCATTCGCATTTTCAGTCTATCTACGATTCGCATTTAAATCATTCACCTGGACCTTTATGTACCCATTTACATAAATATTCCGTAGAAATAATTCTTGTCATTAACTGACCTGGCAATTTTTCTGCCATAAAAATAATCTTGCTTTCGATGCTTTGCTCTTTTCTATTAGCAGCCCCCTAACCGTTTCTCTCTGAAGCACCCAACACCGTTTCCAGTTCAACCGGCTTTTAGTCATAAAAACACAATTAAACGTTTACAGATTACCCAATATAATACATAATCAATTAAATAAAATTGGAAAAATTCACCAATCGGGCGTGGTTACATAGTGATCCTAACCTGTGCGCGTGAGTCGCTGACGTTTGCGCTTCAGAGTTTATTAATCTGTGGACGTTTGTAACAGTTTGTAAGGTTAAGTTTGGGAGCTTTGGCGTCTAGTCAAAAAATTTCTTTGAAACCTTGCGAAATGATTTGCGAACAATCGTATTGTGAATAATCGACTAAGTTGGTGTAGTGCCAGTAGCAGCATGGCTGTGGGTTCCACGAAAGTGATCCAAGTGACCAACATTGCGCCGCAGGCCACCAAGGACCAAATGCAGGTGCTGTTCGGGTACCTGGGGAAGATTGAGGATATTCGCCTCTACCCCACGGTTCGGGACGTGTCGATACCGGTCCAATCGCGCATTTGTTACATCAAGTTCACCGATACCATCACAGTGGGCATTGCCCAGCACATGACGAATACGGTGTTTATTGATAGGGCGCTGATAGTGATCCCTGTGCAGAATGGGGATATTCCCGACGAGTACTACGCTCTGGAAATGACCAGGAATGGAACGGTAGTGCCTGGCTTGAACGTCAACGAGCCCAAACTGCCTGCTCATGTTATCAATTCGGTGCATGGATACGGCGCCGAGCAGGTCATCCACACTACTGATTCCACTTTGGAAACGAACGGCCTCCCCAACTATCCTCCACTTCCGGCCAGCTACGACAGCGTCAAAGTGGAAGAAACGCGCCGCACCGTTCTGGTGCTGAACATCGACAAATCAGTGACATCAGATGAATGGATTCAGCACTTTGCTAGGGCGGGCGAAATAAAGTACCTTCGCACCTGCTCAAGACCCGATGAAACCTACCATCTCCTGATTGAGTTCACGGACCAATCGAGCATCATCCATGCCCTAAAAATGGATGGGACCGAGTTTAAGGGCAGCATTCTGCGTATTCAGCACGCCACTCAACCTATTAACAAGCCTCAGGCGAAGAGCAATGAGGCAGCTCAGAAAGAAATCGAAGAAGCGATGACCAGATTTAAGGAGGCTCAGAACCTAATCAACGCGTCAATTGAGCCGGTGATTGGGATGCTGACCAAGGACAAGAAGAGCTCGAGAAGAAGTCGATCCCGGTCGCGGTCCCGAGACCGAAAACGGCGCCGATCCAGGTCCAGATCCCGTCGGCGATCCAGGTCACGCCGAAGACGATCCCCGTCCCGGAAAAGGTCCAGATCAAGAGATCGGCGTCGCCGTTCCAAATCCAGACGGCGCACCCGGTCACAGTCGCGTCGAAGGTCTGAATCGAGGGTGAAACGGACTCGTTCCAGGTCACGTAAACGGTCAAGATCCAGGGAGAAAAAACCGCGCCCCAGATCCAGGGAGCGATCCAAAGAGAGAAAGCGATCCAAGGACAGGGATCGTTCGAAGGACAGAAAAAGCCGATCGGATTCTAAGCTGAAAGACAAAAGCATCGATGCGAAGGATCGCAAAAGCGATAGCGTCGATCGGAAGCGCTCCAAATCCAGGAGCATCAGTCGCAAGCGGTCGCGATCCAGGGACAAAAAACGTGAAAAGCGTCGATCCAGATCCAGGGGCGGGAGAAGGCGGACGCCCAGTGTTCCGCGCAGCGTTAGAAAGAAGAGCCGATCCAGAAGCAGAGAGCGGGACCGGGATGCGAAGAAGAAGGAGCGGAAGGAGAAGAAACGTTCCAGGTCCAGGTCGAGATCCAAGGACAAGAACTTGCGCAAAGCTGGCGGAAAATCCAGGTCCAAATCGCGCTCCAGATCGCAAACCACCAAGGGAAGAAGCGGCCAGGAAAAAGGAGACAGTAGGCCCATAGAACCTGTGGACGAAAGCGAAAAGGATTCCGGGGAAAAGTCCGATAATATGGATATATCCAATTCACCGTAAAGGCGTTTTGGCTATTTATTATCTTGCTGATTCAAAAATGAACATACGATTTCAGCTAATGTTTGCTATACTGTACATGTATTGACCCAATTATTAAAAATAGAAAACATGCATGTACACTTTCAACACTTTCTTTATAGTAACTGTCCACTTAACTTGAAGGATTCTTCCCATACTTGAGTTTATTTCTATATTTCTTCGCATTAATGCCAAAAGCTGCAAGTCTGGCATCAGATATACTGCTTTCAAGCGAGCTTGGCTTGTTGCCTTTCGATCGTTTGCCCCCTTGCCTGGCCTCTGAATCGTTTAGTGATCTTTTCCGGTTCTTTTTGCTGCTGATTATTGATTCGTCCTTGCCAGCGCTCTTTTTGGCTTTATTTTTCTTCTTGCGTTTCTTACCTGGGCCTTCTGGCTCAGATTTTACCATTTCTTCTGCTGTCGTGCTCTCCGATTTTTGCAATTTCTTTTTCCGTCCCTTTACTGGTGGATCGGTTGTGCCATTAGAGCTTTGTAAAGCATTAAGTTCCACTGTTCCGCCGTTCGTTTCGCTGCTCTCATTCTTTTTATTAGATGCGTCTTTTTTTCGGATTTCCGTCTCGGTTTCTTCAGTTAATTTAATTGACGCGGCAACCAAACTGCGTTTCCCAGCATTATCTTTCTTCTTGCGCTTCTTGCTTTGAGTCGCTTCTGTTTCATCATTTGTAGGGTTTTCTGCTTTCAGGCTAGATTTTGAAACGGCTTCGACTTCAGATTTTTGCAATTTTCTTTTCCGTCCTTTCACTGGTCGATCGGGTGTGCCATTAGAGCTTTGTAATGCATTAAGTTGCATTGTTCCGCCGCTCTTATTTTTTTTAATTCCCATCTCGTTTTCTTCCGTTAGTTCATCCGCAACCAAACTGGGCAAAGGCCCAGAATTCTTTTTCTTTTTGCGCTTGTTGCTTTGAACCGCTTCTGTTTCATCCTTTGTAGGATTTTCTGATTCAGATTTTTGCAACTTCTTTTTCCGCCCCTTCACTGGTGGGTCGGTTGTGCCATTAGAGCTTTGCCAAGCGTTCGGTTCCATTGTGTCCGGTTTCTTTCCATTGGGCGCATTATTGTTGCTATTTGTTGCTTCTTTTTCTACGGCTTCCTTGCAGTTGTTTTCTTCGGTTGGTTCTTCCACAAACAAACTGGGCAAAATCCGTTTTTTCAGTTCAATGTTCTTGCCCTTGTTGGAATAGGCCATTTGTTCATATTTCTCAATACTATCAGGGCGACGCTGTACGGTTTTTTTGATGGAACACCATTTGTTCAGCTCCTTGTCATTAGCTAGAAGTATCTGAAACATGAGTGTTTCCATTAAAATTTCAACAATTAAAGTTTCAGGACATACGAACCTCTTCCACAGTTAATCCAAAGTCATTGGGGATAACTTCGCGGTATTTAAACCGGCATGGAAGGTCGCCGATGATATCTTCGCAGTCCAGTTTGTAGTACTCGTCAAAGTACTTTTCATACTCCTTTTCGTTGGGATCGAATTTTGGCTTTGGGCGGCTTAAAGCTTCAGCCACTTTCGACTTTTTCTTCCTTTTCCGTTTGCCTTTGCTGCCGTCGGCCGCCTCCTGCTTAGAAACCGTGGCAGGATCGTAATCGGCGTCCATCTGCAACGGTCCCATAGAGGATTAATAGCAGACAAGCTTTAGCAAAAGAAATCTTACATTGAAGTTGTCGTCTTCACAGTGGGGCGAGACTTCGCTCTTTTCTTCGTTTTGCCAACGGGACCAGTTTTCTATAAAATGCATGTAATTGTACACTTACAGCAGTAGATTTAGATGTATCAAGGAAGAACCACTAATAGATCTGGCAATGACAGAATCCTTACCAATCTCCAGTTCTTTGTCAATATCTGGAAATTCGGGCTTCTCGTCAGTCTCTTGGCCCTGATAAAACTCGTCGTTAAACAGCGACTGCATTCGCTTGTCATGAGCTTCAGGATCAAATTCTCCGTCCACATCTTCATCCCCAAAGGCTAGATCTGTGGCTCCTGTAAGCAATGGTAATTTTCATCCGCCCTCTTTTTTAATGTGACGCACACGCACCTGTGACCTCCTTCAATTTCTGTAGTTTTTCTTCAATTTCCTTCCTCTTTAATTCCTGCATCTTTTTAATTTCGGCCATTTTTTCCTCCTTCTCCCTTTTCTTCCTCTCCTTGGTCTCAGCCCGTTTCGCTTTCCTCTTATCGTCCGTGCGCCTGATCGAGTTTTCGATAGTCCTTGGGTACCTTTTTATAAAGTCCTGATCGGGCTCTTCGAATCTGAAATTGAATTTGTGCTCGAATTCTTCCTGCTTCTCAAGCTCGGTTTCATCGATGGGGTTCACAATTTCTTCATATGTGGGAATGTGGTCGCCCCTATCTTCCTCCAAGTATCTAGAAGGCAAAGTTGATTAGCAGCTTGATGGTTACGTCAGATAGTGCAGACCTTTTATTTAGGAAATAGTCTCTCAGATATTTCTCGTCTTCATCTAACTCTGGGTGATTCCAAAAGTCCCTGAGCGGCTTCAATTCGGCTTTGGTTTCCTCATCTTGAATGTCTTCGGTTTGTCCTTTCAGCCACTGTCTGTATTCCTCTTCAGTTTCCTTTTGCTCTTGCTTCGTTTTCCTCCTTATCTGCAACAAGCCACCCAGTCCAGCTTCATCTTCTTCATCATCGTCAAGCTTGGCCACTTCAATTATTTTTTTCTTGAGCTGCTCCTGCTCCTCAACATACGATGGCCTGGAAATTCGATAGTTAACTTTGCTCGAAATTGTAATCGGCTCTTACCCAGCTTCAGGCTCAATTTCTTCGTCGCTTAAATTAGGGCCGTGTTCCAAAAGCATTTTCCTCTGGTAGTCCTTGGGATATAGCGGTTTCTCTTTCACTGCTTTCCCTTTAGCAGCATCAGCTTGCCGGTCTTTGAAGAAATGGTAGTTTTTGTCGTAGATTCTCGGATCGTTGCTCCTCAGACAGGCAAGTGTCTTGAAGAAGGCCTTATCATCCTCTTCGTTGAATGTCACCTCTTCATCTTCAGAGGAGCTGGATGAATCGCTGTCGTCCAGAACTCCTTCTCCATATCTCGCCTGCACTGCAGAAGCGATAGAGTTTTTCAGTATAGCTTTGTTTCAGCCAGGGGAAATTATTATATTATTATTATTAATTATTATTTAGAAAAATTATCGTCGTTTTGTGCAAGGGTGGCGTAAGATTATTGCAAAATTTCATGTTTTCCGTCCCGGTTTTCATGTTTCTCGGAAGCAAAATGAGCAAGAACGCTCGTTTTTACATTATTCCAAAGAGAACTAAATGGCTTTTTTAGAAAGTGAACCATCGATAAGGAAATGTTGCAGTTTTCTCAAAAAATGCTTGAATTCAAGAAGTTTTAGATTTGCGTGTTTTTTTCGAGTTGCAAAATCCACTTGAACATGACGCTGCTTTTCTCGAAGTTTCTCAAGAACCATTCGAGTCTCAGAATTCGTTTTGGCATCGTTGGATAGAGAATTGAATCCGCCCTTGGTTTCAGCCCGAATTAAGCCATCTTCAGACACAATCGAGTTGCATACAAATGCTATTTCAAGGAGGTTCTGGGGATTCTCTAGGAGTCCACCAATGAAGCCCCATTTTGTATAAGAAAAGGGTCCCCTGGAGGCTCTTTTGGATACAATTACTTACACTTATGGAGCTCCTCCTTCTTTCTCCATACGTCGTAGTTTTTGGCGTACGCATTGTTTACGTTTAGTTCGTATTCAGAGTCCGACTCCTCTTGGAAAAGCTCAATTTTTCCCATTTTCAACTGAGTGTTTAACCTAATGAAAAACCAACGTGTGAGCTCTGCAGCGACATAACCAAAAAGGCAAAACACACAGAACATACCGCCTAGGGGGATATTTTGTGAACAAAAATTGGTTTGATCAATCAATGTCAATGTGATGTCAATTTAGTTTGTCATTATCAACAGCAACAAAACAAACTTTAAATTGAATTAAATCATTAAACTCTGCACCGAAACCCCAAATATCAGATGCACGCAAAAGCTGAGCGGTTGACGAAGCCTAAAAACATGTCCGAAGAGCTGAACGGGGTGGCTGTTGTGATCATTATAGGGCTGGGAGTGCTGACTGTGATTTTGCTGTTCCTTTTCGCCAAAAGGCAGATAATGAGGTTCACGTTGAGGTCGAGGAGAGGCCCGCACGTTCCCATAGGCCACGACGGGCCGAAGGTAAACTTTTTGGGCCCCTTGAAGAGTTTGAAGTAGCTTGGATTTTAGGGCATTAAACGGGAAATTGAGCGAAGACTGGATGCAATCCCTCGGATTATATGTGAGCCGAGGCTAATCAGTAACACTGATCCCAGATACATTTTGTTCCCTGGCCAGCAAATACCCAGCCACTACTACCGGCTGAAGGCTGTGGATGATGTGAAGATTTTAGGTACCTACCAGCCCTACTAGTGGAGATTCGGGGTTAATTTTGGGGTTTGCAGAAAGTGAGATTACCAAGCAGGATTCCTGCTTGGTGAGGCACCCAAGCGAAAACCTCAGAGCGTATTTACTGACCACTTTGGCGGCCCCTTTGAACGGAACTGGCTTGAGGCTGATTCATCAGTTCTGCGACTTTTATGAGCACGCCAGGCACGATCCCAGCAATTTTGGCGATGAGGAATACCAGCAGTATAATCGTTTGTTGCTGAAGCTGGTCGATGCGTAAGTTAGCTCAGAGTTGGTGTTCGTGGCCTTAATCAGATGTTCTTAGGGCGAAAATGCTCAAGAGCTACAACAGTAGAAAGTCGTCCCCCAACAGGACTCCGGTGAGGAAGCAGCTGGTGGATAAATCTAAGAATATCAGCTCGCATTATTCAACTGATGAGGAGATTTTGAGCGTGACTGATTCCCGACCCACCACTTTATCAGTGCCACTTTCAGCCGACAATGAAACCTCCGTTTGAGTTCTACAGCCGCCAGTTAGAAACTAGCTCAAGTTAGTAGTATTTATTATCATTACACATATAAGAGAATGGGTTATACTGATTGAAGGTTGGAAATGTATGAGAATAGTTTTTCCAGCAATTTTCGCACTTGACTACATAAAGCCCAGTTAAAAATGAGCTTACATTGTAAAAACCTAAAAGGTGTCTTGGGGAAATGCGCTATTTGAATTGGCTCCAAACAGATTTGGGTGCCGAGTGAAAAACCACTTTCCAAAAATGTTCTATTAAAATGTTCGGTGTATTAAACCGCATCCACTGTACAAAGTCTGCAGTCCAAATACTTCGTCCACCTGGAACCCCTGGAAAATTCCTCTTGGTGCCTCAAGCCGGCCAAAGTCCATCCGAATATATTCCTGTACTCTTCCGAAATACTCTCCGAGCTGCTCATGTAGTGCATCCACTCTAAAATCTGATAGGAAGGTTTATTGGCTGTGGCGGTGCGGATTATCGTTAAGAAAGGACCAACTTGCAAGTCAATTTCAGTCTAAAGCAGATGGCAATTTGAATTTTTCACTTTTTGGGTCTGTATAGATAGGGCGAACATTCTAGTTGGCAATCTTACCTGTGTCGTGTAAAGGCCCCAGGCCAATTGATCGAGCAAAAAAGACAACGCGGCTGGAAACGCGTACTTTATGCTGTTGATGTGGCCGCTGGGCAAAATCACATGCAACCCGGACAAGAAAACCACAGCGATGGCCAGAATATCGCACAGCTGCTCCGTTTCCTTGATATCACAGCCATCGGCCACTTTGACCTGGATTTCTCCAAAACGATCGTTCAGCCATGCGGGGGAATCTTCGTGAGTAGCACGCTGTTTTAGCACCGACTTTAACTCGTCCACATAGACGAGCAGACTGAAACTATCCCCTATCAAACGGGTCGTCTCGAATGGTAAAAACTCACTCGATCTTGTTGTGGTAGGCCAAGGCAAACATGTGGTTCAACCAAGCAAGAGGAGCAGAGGATGCGGTTTTTTTCGAAATGCTGCAGGTTATTTTGAGGATTTTTTCGAATTCCTTTTGGCCCACTTTCTGGGGGGTTGCCGTGACGATTTTTGTGAGAGCCTGCGGCGAAAACGCCTCCACACAGCCCAAGAGCGAGAGAAAGCTCTAAAAAACGATCTATAAACCATACAAGTACGTAGTACGATAAGTTCTACTCACCTGTGAGTGTGCATCGGCAACAAATATCAGTTCAGTGATCACCTCCTCAATGGTGTGTTTATTCACTTCCTGGACATCTTTCGCTTGTAAAACCTCCGAGACGTGAGTGAGCACGAGCTCAAGCTGGGCGCTTTCCAGTAAAGAATGCAGCGAATTTTGGAAGAATGGCTTTAAAACGACTGGCTGGATGCTGTTGGCGATATGGATCAAATTCCTGTAGACCTGGATGGCCGATTCAAACTGAAACCCGCTGGCTACAGGAGATGCGAAAGTGTTCAGCTGGTACAAACCTGCGGAGCTTCTGTTATGCCAATGATGTACGTTTCCACAAGCCGACGGGCTGATCCAGACAACACTGCCTGATGAGCAGCCAGACTTAAGCAGTGGCTTTTCAGAGCTGGATCGTGAACGAGTTCCAGCAAAAAGCTCCAGTCGAGCGGCGGCAACGGTTTGGAGTATTTAGTCGAAAGGACTTTCAGGCAGTTCATAAAAAGTTGGTCCTTTGCAGGGTCTTTCCAGTTCTTTACCTGCAAGGTTGGGTGCAAACAGTTAAATCTGTATGTGATTATACACCAGTTGAGTGAAGACTACCCATTTTACCAAGCTGGAAATATCAGTCAAGTGTCCTCTAAAGATCGAGAAAATGTGCACCCTTAATAAATCACGAGTTGCAAATCCAAAGAGGAAGCTTACCTTGAGGAAATGGTGCTTGATGAATTCGGTCAAAGCTCGCACAATGCTGTGGGCAGGTAATGCCAAATAGTTCACCGGTTCTCGTTGAGCTTTCAGCTGATAGACGAACTTCAGGTAATTGTCCACTTCAGCAGCAACGAGCTTAGTTAGAAAGTCTCTGGCTGCCTCCTTGCACGGGTGCTCGGACAGAAAGCTAACCCAGATTTTTCCTGAAAAACCCACCAGCCAATAGAAACAAACTATTAGTTAGTAGATAAGTTCTATATTGTTGAGGCGGATTCATTTTTTTACAAACTTCTTTTTGGGTATTTCGCATCAAAAATTTTTGTCTTTAAAAAAGACAGAATTGGCTTAACGCCGCCAACCAAAGAAACTTCCCGCTGTATGTTTTTGCCAGAAAACCCCCAAAAACAAAGCTTACTTTATTGTTAGTACGAAGTAAAAATGGTATCCACAAAGTGGATAATTCACATCGGCTGAAGGCTAAACGCGAAATCCGTGTGGATTGAGGGTAAAGTTGCGGTTCTCCGCAACGATGGCACAAAGCGATCCTCTGCAGAATAATGCGCGTCCCTCTTCAGGGTTAATTAATTTTTGAGGCGAAATACCCAAAAAGAAGTTTGTAAAAAAAACTATTAGTTGGTTAAGTACCTGTCACTATTACCGCCTCTTTGTCATTATGGTCCGCCAGATAGGCGCTTGGAATGTGCCTAGAAATAGTTTCCAAGCTGAACGCTGATAGGGCCTGAAAAGCCGCATTCTGGACCTCCACATGCTCGCTTTCGGCCACGTAGCTCCACAAATGTGCCACTACTTCATCCAAAAGCTTGTCGAAAGAGTGGGCGTATTCCAGATTTGGAATCTCGCCAATCAGTGCACACAGGCTAGAATCGACCACTGGATAGGACAAGGTAATCCAGAGTGAATAATTTACCTTTTTATCACTGCCACTCTGGTGTCCAGTCTGAACTTGGGCGACAAAGTTTTCCAAGTGGTCACTATATCGATTATTTCAGCTTTGCACAAGCCTTGAATGCCCTCAAGGGCCAACGCAGTGGGCACTGCCCCTTCCAGACCGGTGCATTCGTTCAGGATCTGTGACAGACTTGCCACTAAGTCTTTCCCGTACAACTCGGGCCTGCAAAGGTCGATTTTAACCGATTTTAATTTAGGCTGATTGCACCTACCTGACTTACCGTCTCTCAGTCAGCTGCCTGAAGATGAACGCCCTGGATATTTGACGCTCCATTTCCAGTCCTTTCGGCGCAGCGGAGCGCTGCATAGCGGCTTCTTCCAGTGCCCAGTACGCCGAATTGTCCACTTCCCATGTATCATACAGCAAACGCAACGCAAAGTCTTTCAAGTCGGGAGCTTGCTGGGAAATCGCCCGGATCGTAGCTGGAAGTTAGTTTGAAAAAGTACTGGTTCAGGACGGCAAAGGCTCTGATCTTAGTGGAATGAAAATCCCCAAAGGACAGGACTTTTATTCGTCTACCTTCTAGGATCGAGCATCGCCTTAAAATCCCAAGACAATTTTATATGGCAATACAAAGTAGTAACAGTTTGAGCGCCCAGAAGGTGCTTAGAATTGCCGGCTGAAAAATTAAGATTTGGAATGGAAGAAGTTTGCAAAGAACTGGAAAGCTGTAGGGAAGATTTAGTTACAAAATTGAAGACACACAAGACAAAAGCTTCTTAGTTGTTCGATTGAAACCAAACTCTTACTCACATTGTGGCAAAAACTTCTGGTGTGGGAGCGACGAATTTTTGAATTCCAGGTTGAGGCACGAAAACTCAACCTCAAGCTTGGAAAATTCCTCATAAGCCTAACAAGAGAAATCCATGAAACCACTATTCAAGCAATTTGGCGGCTTCAAGGTGTCCACCTGTTTGGGGTACTTTGTTCTGTCCATTTCTGTGTACCTGATAGAATTCAAGTCTACTTCGGAGCACTGTTTGGCCGTAAGTGCTTCTCATCATCATCCATGCGGAAATCGGTCAAGAAAATCTTAGAAAATGGACTCGATTGCATCGACATCAGCTGGTGGATATTCCATTGATAATGTGAGGAAAACCTTTTTTACGTAGAAATTTTGAGCTGAGAAAACTGAGCGCAAAAAACGACAAGCAAAGTTATGCTGTCCAGAATAAACCCTCAAAATACAGGAACGGCCTGCTTCGGAAAGAAGAATCAAAGAAAAGCAACTAATGGGCTTTTAGGCCGTCGTTTGATAGAATTTCTTGAGATAGGATTGTAGGAGAACATAACTCACCTATAACTTTCGGTGTGTTGTCTTTGAGCCTTGCCATAGCCGGGAGAGCTTTGAGGATTGCGAAGTGCAGGCGCGGATCATCAGCACTGGCCAATTTGCACAGCAACAGGCTGAGCACGGTAGGAAGAAGCTCCTGATGGCCGGAAGAACAGGCGACTATCATAGAAAGAACGTTCAGCTGATGCTCAGTGCGGAGCTGCTGGTTCAACAGCAACCCGCAAAGAAACGTGAAGTTGGTTTTATGGAAGTGCAAGGGGGCGTCTTGAAAGCCGGCAACTAATGCGGGAATGTTGCTGATATTGGCGAGATGCACGTTCAAAAACATGTCCGGGTTGGTCATCCACATGTAGTGATGGGGGATCGGCGAAGCGGAAGCTGATGGCTCTTTTGGCCTGCCAATTTGGAGCTTCAGAATGGTTTGAGCGACATTCATGGCTTTTTCAGTGAGCAGATTTGGCGTGGCCAACCAGTGCAGTAGGACAGACCTTAAGGCCAGGTAGCATTGTGGCTTGCATTGGCTGTGATTGGCTAAAACCAGACCTGAAACAACAAGGGCCTTCTTCAAGTCAAAAACCGAACAGACGACAATAAAAGATATTTATTTACTTACAAACTGCTTTTTGACGCGAAGAAATTCTGTCTTTTTTTAAAGACAAAAATGTTTGAGGCGAAATACCCAAAAAGATGTTTGTAAACAAATGAATCCGCCTCAACAATATAGAACTTATCTAAAAGATATTTAGTTTAAAACCAACATAGCTGGAAAGTGGCGAATTTTCGCATTCGATGGCAAACAAAACAGTTTAAACCATGTAATTTCTTCCGAAGTTAAAAGAGCTGGAAAGTGGTAAATGTTAACATGAAGAGCGCAGGGAAAATGTGCAGTTATTTGATGAACAATCTCCTAATTATTTATTCAATGCAATTGGTGAATTTACTCACATAACTGTAGCAATTCCTCCAAGTAACCGGGCGAGCAAACCAGTACAGCCTTACTGAGAATGAGTAGGGCGGCATTTGAGTGGCCAATGGCAACTCTTTTCAGCAGATCCAGAAGAGTTTTGATGACCAATCTACAGTCCGCATTGCGAGCAACCATCTTCTCCACCACTAGTATCTGGGCGAAAATCAAATAATCCACATATTTGCCCGGGTTGAGAAGTTGCCTTTGCAGGGCCTCGTCCAACAAACTTCCAGCCAGCTCGGTATGCTTGTTTTCCATCTGAAAGAATAGCCGCGATTCAACACGAGCCTGGCATTGAAACACAGCCATACCTGCAGCCAACAGGCGAGCTTCAAAACCCAGATAGTTTGATTGTCTTCGTCGTATCCGATGAAGAAAGTCCACAATTTGTGTCTGAGCAGTCCCAGCTCGATTTTCGATAAGGGGCTGCACAGGCAGTACAAGTAGAGGGGCTCGTGCAGTTGATGTGCACTAGAACAACCCGTGCAGCTGCAGCTGGCTGATAGAGGAACAGTGGAAGATTTACCGTGGATTCGAGTGGCAACTGTGGGCGATTTCATTGAAGATGCTCATTTGCACATCAGCGCGTTGATCTTCTTGTAGGATCTTAATCAGGGGGTGCTGAGACAGCTGGAACTGTCTAGGCGCTGAGCTGGCCGCAGTTTGCAACTGTAAAATGCTGCCAATTAATTTTACCAGTGAGACAGTATTGCTGAAACAATTTAAGAAAATGAAGCCTGTTTGTGAGCACTTGTACCTTAACAAGTGCTTACTTGGTAGATGCGACACTGGTCACACAGTCAGCCAAAACATCGTCAATTTGCAGCAGGTTTCGCTGGAGCAGTTCCACTATGGTCAATCTAGCTATGTCGTTAATAAGGCCACTGCTATCGCTTAAACATTTACTTTTCAAGTAGGCAAATTCGAGTTTAGCGCTGTTTTTCGTTTGGGCGCTGAGTACAAGCTGCGAAAAAACTTGCGATATTAAGGCGGAATTGCCGCTTTGCAGTTTGCGGTCGATTTTCTCCATTTTTTCAGTCAATTCTCATTAAAACGTTTAAAAGAAAATAAAGTTCGCAAAAGTGCCAGCAAAATTTTAGGTTTTGTTTCTGTTTCTGACAGCGACATGTCGGGACTGGCGTAGGGTTTGTCAATGTGACGTCAGATCAATTCAGATTTCATTATTATTATTATTATTATTATTATTAATTAATTAATTATATTTAATACTCCGTTTATTTCATTTTGTTTTATACTTTTTAATCCATATAAATAGGGTTATTATCAAACCACTTTAGTTTTACCCAAACTTTTTTAATACATATTTTTTTAAATATTTCTGGTGTACCCTCCACAACCCCTTTGTCGGTAAAAAGTCAGGTTAGGCGCTGTGAATGTTCCGTCAACTAGATGACATTGTGGATGTAAATAATAAATATGGTGGAGTTTGTGTTTGGCTTCCAAAAAATCGCGAGAAAAACGTGAACTTAAGACAATTCCCTGCATTTGTGCATTGAATAAACACGCCATAAATGGCCAATCACTACGAAGTTCCCAGCTGGTGAGTTTGAGTGGTAATTCCGAAGGGTTTCAGGCTCTGTCCAGGCCGTAAAGTGTTTCCACTTGGAACGTTCATAGAATTATTCGACCGCTACATTTCAGGGCCGGTAAACCGCCAGTTGGTCTGCATTTAGACGTTTTGAAGGGCGACAAGTTGATTCAAAAGCTCATGATCGACCAAAAGAAATGCTACCTTTTCGGCAGAAACACCCAAATGAACGACTTTTGCATTGACCATGCATCTTGTTCCAGAGTGCATGCGGCCTTCGTTTGGCACAAGCACTTGAACAGGGCGTTCTTGGTGGACTTGGGCAGCAGTAAGTAACAGCCCTCAAGCGGGGGATCGGCTGTTTTCGTAACATTGTTGCAGCCCATGGCACTTTCATTGGCAGCTTACGTTTGGAGGGCTACAAACCCACCCAGTTGCCCATCGATTCCGGATTTCATTTTGGGGCCTCCACTAGAAACTACATCATCAGAGAAAGGCCGCAAACCGGAATCCGGCCTATCATTGACGAGATTGAAAAGGCTGGAGAGGAAACGGAAGGCGGACTGTTGGGCCTGCCTGAAACTGAAACAGAGTTGGATGTAAGCTAGACAGATACAGAAATCAAGACTTTAGGTCCAACCTGAGTATATCTTGTGGTCGTTACAGAACCTGACGGAGTTTAACACCGCTCACAATCGGCGAATATCAATGTTGGGCATCAACGATGACGCGGAGAAGCGGAACAAGAACAGGAAACGGAAACGAATCACCGTCTCCTTCAACGAGGACGAGGAGATTATCAATCCGGAGGACGTGGACCCGAACATTGGCCGGTTCAGGAACCTGATCCAGACCACCGTCATCCCGTCAACCAATAAGCGGTCGCGACTGGGCAATGCTTTGGGCGTGCCACATCAGACCAATGCTGACTTCAAAGTACCCAAAGTGCTGAACCATCCGCAGCATGATTTATATAACGATCTGCCGCCGGAAACTCAAGCAACCTCCGGCGTGAATAATATCAGCAGTATATACAGTTCCCTGAGTTCAAGGTAAATATTGATAGAACCCTTAATTGCCCCACGGCTTCACCTACTGAAAGATAGAATGAAAATGATAGAAGAAAGATAGATACTGAAAAGCATAAACTATTTTTTTCAGGTTGGGCGTGGGGTTGCCGAATCCCGCACCAGATGTGGACATGGGATTGCCTACTCCCAGTCCCTTTGTGCCTCAGCAAGTGCAAGTTCCCGACTCGTTGGAGCCGAAGAAGAAGAAGTACGCGAAAGAAGCTTGGCCAGGCAAAAAGCCGGTTCAGACGTTGCTTGTGTAAAACTAGTGAGGAATAAAGAACTCGATGCGCAGTCGTATTTTTAAGGTAAACGATTTTCGTCTATTAGCTGTAAGTGAACATCGCCTGGAATTTGGTTGAGTCTTAGCAGGCTTGAAGCTGAGTTTGACACAGTGAGGAACATAATCACGCGAATAATTTGCTGTTAAAAGTTGCCGTAGCTGAAAGCTGATAGTTTTTTGCTATTGTCGTCCTCCAAACTTGCCAGATTCCAGTAGCGAAAGGTAAGCTTGAAACCGACAAATGTTTGAGATTAAATAGTCAATAAGAAGCAAACTGCAGATAAGTTCTATATTGTTGAGGCGGATTCATTTTTTTGCAAACTGCTTGTTGGGTATTTCGCCTCAAAAATGTTTGTCTTTAAAAAAGACAGAATTTCCTCAMGTCTTTTATTACAGATTGATAAAYAGTGCWMKWGCACTRTTYWTCAATCTGTAATAAAAGACGTGAGGAAATTCTSTCTTTTTTAAAGACAAACATTTTTGAGGCGAAATACCCAACAAGCAGTTTGCAAAAATGACACAAACTGAAATTGAACTACCTAAGTATCTGTAATTTTTAATGCAGCCAAAAAAGTAGTTTAAGTGKGTGGATTTCAATGAGTGAAAAGTGCCCGAAAGCCGCATTTTTGCAGAAAAACCCCCWAGAATTCTTGTTTGGTGCCCGATGATTACAGTAAGAAGTCTTATTAATTGCAGCCACTGCTCAATCYCARGAAACATTTTTCAAAATTTTATTTGAAACCATTGCCACACCTAGTAAGTAACAGTCTGAAACAGTTTGATCTTGGCATCCAGAATATAGTGCAGCCACTTCTCTTGAAAGTCCAAATATCCGGGCCTGTGCACTTGCCTGAATGTCTCATACCTATAACTGACCTAATAGAGTTGCCTTGGCCCTTTCCCCCTTTCTGATGGCTTACATCGACCAGGCAATGAGACGGTTTGGATTGGCAAAGTTCAATGGTGAAAAATACACTGGCTGTAGCTTGCGCTATTGGGTACTTCCAGGTGGGCAGGCTGTAGATGGCCTGGTAAAGCTCAATTGGCTACGATCTGACCATTCAGCGCGCGGTTATTTACCTGGTAGCGGTGCAGCTCCGAGACCTGCATGTCGTCCATTCCCTCATAGTAAATCACGTACATCCAGTCCTCCTCAGTCTCAAAGGACGAGAGATATTCGTCGATGGTAAAAGCGCCCAGCTGGACGGTGAAATCGCCGATGGTCGGCCAGGACACTGCGGACTCCTTCTTTTCCACGTAGAATTCCATTGATTCCCTGAACCCTTCCATTATCCCGGTCAGGCGTGGTTCACTCTGCTCGGCGACATTCGATTGCCGCGTCTCCTCTTGGACTTCCACTTGCTCTAAGAAGGCCAACTAGGGGTGTTGTATGCACGTGTTTCTGAGCAGCGACTACCTTCTGAGTCTGCCACCAGCGTGTTCACCAGTTCTTTGGCAAACGCGACAGGATCGAGGAACTGGGTGCAATCCTCAAAGTCATTAAAGGCCAAATTCTCCTTGGACTGTCCGGCTGCTTCATCTCCTAGATCCTCCTCATCGCAATCCTCATAGCGGTAGTCGTTTAAAGGCGCGCTCGTCTCTGAGGTGGCACTTTTTTCTGAAAATGCCGCATTAATGCGCGGATGGGAAACTAGACCTCACTGCAAATCAGTAATTGATCGTACCTCTGGATGCCGCTGTCTGCTCGGCATACTGTTTTAAGCTGGTGTCTGAAGCAGGAAGCGACCCGCTGATTTGCTCGGATATGGAACCACTGGGAACTCGGACCTGGAGGTGAAATTTGCATTTTTAACGGTTTTTTTGAGTTTTCCAGCCGAGCTGTTGCATTTTCTGAAATAAACGTTGCTTGAACCCATGGGTCCTGTTCGAGGAGAAATGTTTTTGTGGACTAAGCGCACATAAAAGGGCTGATTGTGCACAGTAGAACCATTTTGCCGCGCTAATCAATTTCATTCTATTGATTGCTCCCCAAATTCCCCCCACAATGGGTTGTCGAGATGGTCTTTTAAACGTTCGAAATATGATTTGGATTAAGCGACTTACCATGATGCATGCATCCTCCAGGCAGTGGACTTGAATGCGCCCCTTTTGTCCGGGTTTTTTGGGCAAAAGGTGCACAGTTCCCGGTTCCCAATTGAGCGCAGAACTATCCATAATTCAGCGTGGAAAAAAAAAACGCAAAAACCTTGACGCATGTCAAGGGGCGCTGCAACCAGAACAGGTTCTTGAAAAAAGATATATTGATAAACAACCTCAATAAAACGTAATAAATAATAACAAAAAAGCGAACCGAACAATGCAATAAACGCTTTAAAAATATTGCTGGTTTTTCCTGGCTGAATATTGCTCGAAATGGGGTTTTCTGCTTAAAAATAAGCGCGACAATCTTAGAACGGGTTTGTCTTACAATCTACCTTAACATTTTGCGATAGAGCTTCTACATTATTATTATCGCTGTGGTTTTTTTACAAAACAAATCCCGAAAAACTGAGACATATAATCTACGAAAATAGTAGCTTCTTTGCCTGTTACGTATACTTATCGAAGAAAGCAGTACCGAATTGTTTCCTAATTATTACTAGAGAGTGATTATTCGTCAAACCGTTATTGTCGGGGACATTTTTACAGGCCCTTATTGAAGTAAATCCGCTCGGGCACCTTTTCTCCGCATGTTTTCTTGATGTTTTCATAGGCTTCGGGCTCGATCCAAGCCAATGTGGTCGTTTTCATCGAACTGAAAAAGTCATTAAAATTCAACCATCCTGTTTTGCAATTAGATGGTGCAACCTACCATTTTTGGGGAAACAGGCCGCAAGCGGTAGGGACCATGAACGACAAGCTGAAAAGTTATGAACATTGCAACGAAAAAGCATGGAGAAACTGGCCGAAAATGCAACTTACAAGCACCCAACGGCCATCACTTGAATCGGGCCGTGTAGGAAGGTGATTTTCTTCATGAAAGCCAACTGCTCAGCCCGTTCCATGATAACGGGCAGGATTAGCATACCAGGAGCACACATAGTGATTCTGGACATTATGACCTGCAATGGAAAGCAGTTGGGCGGTGCTTTTGCTCCAAAAATCCCTGTTTACCTGGCTGAAAGCTTTCGCAGCAGCCACTTTAGACTGTCCGACTATCTGGCCCTTTTCATCCGAACAATCAATACCATGGATGAACTCGTTCTGTCTCATCAGCGGTATATTGACGCAATTCGCTGCCGCTACAGCTGCGAATGGAACGTACCTCTAAGAAAAAATCACTGGTCATCTCACATACAGAGTTCTGAACCTGAACCTTACTTGAACAAATGGACTGGCGCGCTTCTGCCAGTAGTATTTACAGCCCAAGGCAGTGATCATAGCCGAGGAGGTAGCTGACACGTAAGCTACCACTAGTTGCGTCGTTGAAGTGGGCGATTTTGCGTTTCTGTTCGTGTAGTTCACCAGGGCGTTGAACGACTGATTCACCCACTGCCAGAAGACAACAGCAAACGGAGTTCTGGAAATACGAGTGTTTTTATGTGTGGAGTAGCGTCTCCAAAAACTATTCTTTTAGTTGTAAAAAAAAGCACAGTTTCAGTGCAATTTGAAGCGATTAATCGAACACTCACCGGTACCATTGGAGCATGGCCCCTGTAATAGCCATTCCTCCGGGTACTTGGAAGGACATTCGCCCAAAAACGTTCTGTTTTTCACCGCTGTCCGGATGGAAAGCGCTTTCATACAGTTTCTTCGCGTAGATCACCTGATCGACTGTGGTGCCTGGGGGCTCAGAGCCGCGTCGGTAAAGATCCACCAGTTCCTTGGCCTTGTCCAGGGCTTCGTCCCCTATTAATCGCGTAAAACAACGAAGTTGGAGATTGATTATGTTGACGAATAAGTGGCCTTACCAACAACGCATGTTCGGGGATCAGTAACCCATAAGAAATGTTTGAATCGGCCAACGAAAGTGGTCTGGTCCCATAAGGGCGCATCCACGTTCAGTCTTTCAGGCATTGCAGCGTGTTTGTTGAGTATCTGCGGATGAAACGTTAAGTTTACTTACAGATACAGAAATTGCATGTCAGTAAAATGACTGTGAAACTCGATTAAAGCAATTAAACAGAAACCAATGAATGAAGAGCCAGAGAAAGTTTTATTGATATTGAGCTTAAAACATTGGTTTGGCGTTTTTTGCTGACTAAACAGCTTTTGAGCTCAATGTGAGTACTCATGAGATTTATCAATAGTTACCTGGTGTCAGGACGGGCACAGATGGAAAGAAAATATTTTTCGATGCAGATTTCGTGGAAATTGAATAAAAATTGAGCAAATCTGGTTCGGTGTTTGCCAGAAAACTGGATTGTATAATGAATCTCCGATCGTTCAGTGCAACGAATGCACAAAATCAAAGTCTAAAGTCCCTGTGTACGAAAAAAATCGAGATATTCACTCACCAGGCAATTTAACTTGTTTGTGTTTATACTTTTCGGCTGATTTAATTGGAATTCGGCGAAAAAAACAACTTTTTTGGGGAAAAGATTAATTGGGCATCTCTGCCCCCCTGATACTGACAGCTTGGCGCAGCGATGCCGCGCTTCTCCAACAGAAATCTTTTACAACTAAAAACGGTTTTCTTATTTCGACTCCTGTAAAATTGAGAGCAGTTGTTTCTGCTCTGATCTCCCAGCTTTTTCCCCAGTTCATCATGAACTGCTCAGTGAAATCTTAAGCTAGTTTTGGAGCAATCAAGCGGCGTCCAATTGAAATGCATGAGGAATTGGAACCCAAACTGGCACCTATGGATGCACTCCCAGCCGTGTGAGGTCATGCGCGAGTGAAATTCAATTTAAATCAGTCCCGCTGAAAATGCATTATGAAACATTTCCACTTAAAAATAGATTTTATTGCAATTTTCACCTGCGTCGACTTGCACCTGGCTTTACTTACGTTAAGGTATGACGACGGAATTTCGGCCGTTGTTTGTTATCCCATAGAAAAACATCGATTTTCATTGGCGAATTTATCGTTTGTAATCCGGCTCATTAAGGGGGCAAACGATGAACGTCGTGTTCTAAATGAGGTTTTAATAAACGTGATTTATTTTAGAAGTACAATTTAATTCAAAAAAATATTAACTTGCGTGTCTTTAGGGTTTACTGGGTGGGTGTAGAGAATAGCGGTTTTGTGCAATTTTTAAATGCGTGTAAAAAATGTTTCTAAAATATCCCTATTTGCCTTGAATATGCACCTCCATAATGACTTTGACGTCAAACGTCTCCATCACCGATCAGTGTTGCCAACAAAAGAAGAAAAAATCACCAGTCCCGTCAAAATTCAAAATTAAGACCTCCAGTATTTTAAATACTAAGTTTTCGCCTAAAGATTTTGCCCTTGGCGACTCCAAAACTGGCAGCTTTCCCACCTGAGACGCGGTTTTCTCGATATAAAATGGCTAAGAAAACTACTGTCGTTATATAACCTAAAAGTGAACACTATTTGGGGGGGAGGGGCAGCTGCCACTAACCAGGCCCCACAATGGATGAAGTCCTTTTTAGGGGGACACAGAAGCTGGAATCCTTACAGGTAAGGTTTAAATTCGGAAGGCCACGAAATGTTTTCTGGATTACACTTATGTATGCTCTTCAACACTCGTCTCCTTGATGACAAACAGTCTCAAACTAACATAATCATTAAGAACTTTATAATCTGGATTCAGTTGGAAGCTGGTCTAGTTGCCTCAAAAAGCAAAGACCTTTTCCTCACTTACTCGCAAGCCACGCAAGTGCTGCTGTCTCAAGTGTGGCAGAGCCACAAACTGGACCATCTGAAGAGTAACATCAGCCAGCTACTGGACTATGTGTTGGAAATATCCAGGGATTTTACGGAGCGGGCTGTTGATGTGGCCGACCCAAAGCGACTATGGATGTTCCTGACTGGAGTACTGGATGGACAGTGTAAGCATGAGCAAAAAACACGCGTTTTCACGCAAATGTTTGAACAGTTTATAGGGTTGTTCCGGCCGGATCAGCCCTTTAAATGAACTCAGTGAGTGTCTCGTTGTTCTACTCATTGTCTAAATTCTAGTCTAATAACACAGTTCTTGTTTGTTGTTTTCTCTATTTCTGGATAGGCGTTGCTTGTCGCTCAGCATCTTCCGGCAATATGAGAAATTGGCACAACGCGACAAGCTAAAAATACCCGCCTCCAGCTAGAGTTTCTACTGTATCGGTATAACTCAATGGAATGTAAAGCGCGATTCAATAACGAACCAATCCAGAGCTAACACTAAAAAACACTTAAACACATTTCAGTGCAACTGGTTCATCCCGATAGAGCTTAGATGAGCAGCTTCCCTATATCTGAATGCGATTTAACTGGTGATGATGTTTTTAGGGTCGAAACGCGAGATAAGCATAGCATGCGCGGGCTTCGTGGTAGGAGGACTAGTAGGGGTGGCAGTGGGTTTTGCCTTGCGAAGAAGGGAAAATACGGTGCGCTATATGGAGGCGGTCCAAATCAGCCACTATTTAGGTCCAGAGGTAATAAACATTTCTGTTTTTACGCTATGCCTCAATGCAGTTTGGTCAAATAGCGGGATCTAAATAGTTGTAGATAAGTTCTATATTGTTGAGGCGGATTCATTTTTTTTACAAAACTTCTTTTTGGGTATTTTGCCTCAAAAATTTTTG